CTCAGGTCATGATCCCAGAGTCCCAGGATTGGGAATGAGCCCTGAGCAGGGCTACCCCCTCAGCGGGGAGTCTGCTTCTCCCTCTGCCCCTCTCCCAGCTTGTGCTCTCTCTCTCTCTAAAGATAAATAAAATCTTAAAAATAGAGAAATAAACACTTTAGCAGCAGAGTAGAGGATGTGTTCAAGGAAGGTTTGAGATGAGAAAGAAGGAAGGAAAAAAGCAAAGAAGAAAAACTATTTAGGGCATTAGTAGTAAGCTAAGTGAAGCATCACAAGGGCCTGAATGAAGGTAGTAAACGTGGGAATAGAAACAGATAGATAAGGGGAATATTAAAATGGAATGGAAAGCCTTGCAGTAATTTACAGGGGTTGGTAGATGAGTATAAGGAAGGCATTGAAGATGATTTCAGGATTCTGGCATGGAAGCCTGGATGGATGATGGTGCCATTTATCAATATAACAGAAATGATGGAGGAAGTTGGGGTGGCAGGTCCAGGCAGCAGCAGAGATGAGCTTAGTGTGGGGCATATTGCATTCCATATGGCTGGGAAGATGTCCAGTAAGTAGTTGGCTGTGTCCAGATCTGGACAGTAGCGCCAATTGGGGAGGTTGTGGTAATCTTACCCAACTGTTATTAATTTTCCTTTTATTTCCAGTGACTGACATGTATTAAGTGGTCAGTAAATATTTGTTGATGTTACTGTGGCTGCAGCTTTTATCGGTGGTCTCCTCTGTACATGCTTTGAAAAAAAAATCATTGCTCAATCTAGTTTTACTCAACAGTAGGCAACTTAGGGCCAGATGTTGCTGGCCTAAGCAGTGTTCAACTCACAAATGGCTTCTTCATGACAGACCACCACGTATCACTTGAGCAGATTGGTATAAAATTGGCTCTAACTTGATTTTCTTTGGTATTTTCCTGGTTCTAAATCAGCCTTCTCAATTGTGACAAAATTGTTTGGAAAAGCCTTGAAGTTTTTCTCCATGTGAGTGGGTTTGGATATGCCATTCACAGTGCTAAAACTAGCATATAGCAATTTAAGAAAATCTATTTGTTTATTACCAGCTGATCTATTTTTGGACAGCTCTAACAGCTTGTCTGACTCAAAAGAAATGGTGAGAAAAGTGCCCTAGAGAGTAATACAGTGTGTAAATAATAACAACTAATTTATTCTAGTAAATAAGGCCCTAGCATATTATAGGTACTCAGAATGTTGGTTGAATTAAGTGACTGTATATGATACTTAAGAATTTACAAAGTGTTGGGCGCCTGGGTGGCTGAGTCGGTTAAGCGACTGCCTTCGGCTCAGGTCATGATCCTGGAGTCCCGGGATCGAGTCCTGCATCGGGCTCCCTGCTTGGCAGGGAGTCTGCTTCTCCCTCTGACCCTCCCCCCTCTCATGTGCGCTCTCTCTCTCTCTCTCTCATTCTCAGTCTCTCAAAATAAATAAATAAATCTTTAAAAAAAAAGAATTTACAAAGTGCTTTCACATATATTATTATTTTTTTTGATCTTCAGAACCCCATGAGTCAAACCAGGTATTATTCTCATTTTAAATATGAGGAAATTCACATGCTCAGCAATAATATTTTATGTATCTCTGATTTGTCTGCAAACAGAGACAGTTTCTGTTGTCCTCTCTTAGTCTCATTTTTCATGCCCTATGTAATCTTCATAATCAGTCCATGAAAGACCTGCCTAATCTGAATTCAGCTTGTACCACTCTGAGATACACTTGAGTTGATGGTTTCAAGATGGCTTAGAAGTAAAGTTGGCCTGATACTCTTGAGTGTGGTGCATCTTGCCTTGCCTTAATAGGGCACTGGTTTATATTCATCACAATGTAGTTGGCTTACAAGTTAAGGTTAAAAAAATATAATGCATGTCATGTGATTTGAGTACTAACATGTAAGCTGATCCAAGCACGTGTCATTGACTCCAGGAATACCTTTTTAAAAGAGTCATTTTCTGTTAGTAAGTTACTAGGTGGTATGTAATACGGGAAGTTGATCTTACCAAAATTTCAGGCCTGCGTGGCTTTCTGGTGAGCACATGCACATGTTTACTTTTCCTGACATTTGGCTTCAGTCAGCCTGTTGGTTTTTCACATTGCTCATATTCTTTTTTTTTTTTTTTAAGTTTTATTTATTTATTCATGAGAGACAGAGAGAGAGGCAGAGGGAGAAGCAGGCTCCCAAGGAGCAGGGAGCCCGATGTGGGACTCGATCCCAGGACTCTGGGATCATGACCTGAGCTGAAGGCAGACGCTTAACCATCTGAGCCACCCAGGCGCCCGCTCATATTCTTTTTTTACTCTTGTGAATTCCTTCTCTTCTACCTTTAGCGCCTTTCTGTAAACTTTGGGATTATGTCCATTCATGGTGATGTTATCTCGTCATCCACATTCTTTTGGAAGTACTTATTTTAGGTCTGTTTTTCCTGTGGTGTGAGGCACTTGGCCCAGGATGGGACTGTTTCCAGAACTTACTTCTTAGGCGTGAAGATAGGTCATTCATCTATGAAGAACTATATCTCGGGGTGCCTGGGTGGCTCAGTCGGTTAAGTGTCTGCCTTTGGCTCAGGTCATGATCTCAGAGTCCTGGGATTGAGCCAGCCGCATCTCAGTGGGAAATCTGCTTCTCCCTCTGCCCCTCCCCCCTGCTTGTGTGCTCTATCTCAAATAAATAAATAAATAAATAAGTAATCTTTTACAAAATGTATCTCAGCTGCTGGGTCACTTTTATTATGTTTACAAAGAAATACTTCACTATTTGTGGTATTTAATTTCACGACAGTGATTGGATTAAGTTTGTTCTGGATGTATTCGATGTTTTAATGCCTGGAGATTTTAGCTTCTCCATCAGGGGCTGTTATGATGATATTTATGGTTTGGAGGTATGAAACATTTTTCAAACTGATCAGGCTTCTGGAGAATATGTTTCGATTGGCTCATAAATTGCATTGTTCCCTGTGCATAGTAATGAGTTAGGTATTTAGGAATGGCAAAGTAACTCCTTTAAGTATGAAGAGTATGTGTTATACAGGCAAGATCATAGTAACACAGTAACACAAAGTGCTTGGTACTGTGTGAGGCACATCAAAATTATCTCTCAGGTTAACAGGGTTATAGAGATAAGACCAAAATGAGGTTGGAACTGCTTAAGCCACTAATATATTTATCAGTGAAGAGCAGTTGTTCCTTTTGGCTACCTCAGGAGCCAAGATTCTTGGTTTATATTAATACTAATATTTTTGAGACCTCTTAAAAATTATTGTTGATTCTCAAGAGTTCACTGATATTCCCTACTTATTCCTAATCTTCTTGCTTCATTTGTAGAATATAAATGGCATTCGAACAGAGGAGGTGGCTGCCGTGACAAAGGGGCCATCTACCAACCCTGACTCTGAATGGGATGGTCCCAAGCACTCAGTAATTCCTAGTAAGAGCCAAATGACCACCCCGTCGGAGTCTCCACAAAGCTTTGAGTTTGGCTCCCTTTCCATAAGCAGCAAGGAGACAGAAGAGAAGGAGCAGGGGGCAGCTGGCTATCTTGATGTTAAGGAAATGCCAAGAGGCTTCAGTGGGGAATGTATAGGAGTGGAGGAACAGGCCAGTGCCTTAAAGTTCTCAGTATCACCAGCTTCCTCTCAGCTGCAACTTGGTGAAAAAAAGGCAGAGAGTAGTGAAGAACATGTTACACCAGGAGAGCCACTTGGAAAGCAAAATGGATCATTTCATGACTCTCGTGTGGGTAACCAGTTCCCCACCCTCATTCGAAGTTTCCAGGTAGTAACCGATTCAGTGATGCAGGTCTAATGACTCACTGTGGGAGAGGGCCAGAATCTGTTCTGTGGAGGAGGTGGTGGTGGTGGTGAGGGCAGTCGCCTCTCTGCTTTTTTGAGAATCACAGAATAAAATCGAAGCCCTTGATTACTACAAATAAATTTATTCAGAGGAATTAACTCCATGGCTAGAAATGCTTTCTCCCCTGAGGACTTAAAACTCTTGGGGGTAAATTCCAGCTGCTTATCTTTATGAAGCTGATGTGAGTGGGTTCCTCTTTTCCTTGCTCAAGTATGGGCTATATAAAGAGGTGAATTTCTGAGACTTCTATGATGAAGAGCCATTAGTGTTTTGGGGCCATGCTCAAAAAATTCAAATATTTTTCGTTAAAAGATACAACTGATTTTTTTTTTTTTTTGAGATTTCAAACTCCAAACAATTATTTCTGTATTGCGGCCACATAGTATAGCCCACCACTCCCACTGACTCCACTCACAAGGGCTTCCATGCTCACAGGCACTAATCTCCTGTGCTAAGGTGGATGGCCACTTAACTTTATCACAATCAAATGGTAGTTTTAGGGTGATTTATAGTCTTTGGCAAGGTGAGCTGATGGACAAGAAGCCTTTGATATTCCACTAATGTTCATTCTTCGGAAATTCTGAGATTAATCACCAGGTGGTGGTAGAAGTGATGATTTTCTTTCCAGTTTTCCAAATACTGTTCCTTCTCAATAAATCCAAAGTGAATGTCTGACATTGATTTGAAAGAAGTTAATGAATTCCAAGATAAAGTATTCCAATGCCATTGCTATTTCATGTCCCATTTTTAGTTAGTGGAGGAAATGTGACTGATTTTCTTAATTACAATGGCACAGTCACAAGGACAAACAAAAGGGACTGCTATTTGGCAAACAGTTTTATATTCAAATTCTGAAGGTCAGTCTAAAGTGTTTTGTATCACTGATCATAACCGTCTGATCTTATAGCTTTCCATTAAGTATATGAAAATGATTACAGTAATGCTGTTTTTAAATATCCCTCATGATTTGACACCTTGTCAAGGCTACTTGGAATAGTGTCCAAGTCTTGGGCAGAGACTGAATTAGCCCTTTGCTTGATTAGAGCTATCACTTTGATCAGATCAATGTCAGAAGATTAGTTCTCCACAGCCTTCTGAAGACTCTGGTAACTCTGTTTCTTTACTGCTTCACAGCCTCCCCTGGTGAAGACTCAGACCGTCACCATCTCAGATACTGCCAATGCTGTGAAAAGTGAAATCCCAACCAAAGATGTCCCTATTGTTCACACTGAGACCAAGACCATCACTTATGAGGCTGCCCAGGTGGGACATGATGTGCTGTTTCAGAAGCAAAGACTAGAGTAAACACAATAAATAACCTTCATTCTTTAGAGTCTCTAATCATTTGCTGCAGGTAATGCTAGGCTTTTCTGGGGTGATTCTTTTTATTTATTTATTTATTTATTTATTTAAAGATTTTATTTATTTGATAGAAGGAGAGAGACAGTGAGAGAGGGAACAAAAGCAGGGGGAGTGGGAGAGGGAGAAGCAGGCCCCCCGCGGAGCAGGAAGCCTGATGAGGGGCTCCAATCCCAGGACCCTGGGATCATGACCTAAGCCTAAGACAGACGCTTAACCAACAGAGCCACCCAGGCGCCCCTGGGGTAATTCTTTTTAGAAGAGGTTACTAATCTAAGGACGTCCCAAAGTACTTCACTAAAAGCAAAGTTGTCTCACATCTGATTGCTTATATCCTCCACCCAATTCAGTTAGGGAAGGCGGTCTAGTGTAATGGTTCAGAACATGGGCTTCGGGTCACACAAACCTGAGCTCAGGTTCTGGCTTCTCCACTTACTCCAATTGCTACAAGTAATTGAATGTCTCTGAGCCTTGATTGCTGCCCCCCCATCTAACCCCCCCATCCATGATGTTAGTATCTGCCTCACGATTTTATTTTTTAAATTTTTTTAAAAAGATTTTATTTATTTGAGAGAGAGAGAGCATGAGCAGAGGGAGGGGCAGAGGGAGAAGCAGACTCCCTGCTGAGTAGGGAGCCTGACACAGAGCTCAATCCCAGGACCCTGGGATCATGACCTTAGCCAAAGGCAGACACTTTAACTGACTGAGCCACCTAGGCACCCCTGCCTCATGATTTTATTATGAAGATTATATAAGATATGACACTGTATGCACTTGACTTGAGCATCATGCCTGAAAGTGTAAATAAGTAACAGCTATAATATAATTTATGGGGTGCCTGGCTGGCTCAGTTGGAGGGGGATGCAACTCTTGATCTTGGGGTTGTGAGTTCAAGCTCCATGTTGGGTGTAGAGATTACTGAAAAATAAAATCTTTAAAAAAATTATTAAAATTTATTACAATTAAATTTAAAATCACACAAGAATTTAAGTATTTAAAATTTTTGTTTAAATAAAAATCCTCCTCCATTATTGTCAATTTGAATGAGCTAAGACTTGTTTTATGTTGAACTGTTTTTTTCCTTCCTTTTATTCGTAGAAGCCAAAAGTTGGAAAAAGCTTTCCCCCTATAAACTGACAAGCAAATATAAACAGATATTTGTTGAGCATTTATGTATTAGGCCAAAGAGACTAAAATCGGGTGAAGAGTTAGACAATGTGAGATTATATGAAAGGTTAACCATTCCTCTGAGGCTAGCGTAGTCAGGAAAATCCACTCTGAGGAGGCCACATTTGGGCCGAAGCCTGCATGGCAGGAACAAGGCAGCCGTGCGAAACTCTGGCTGAGTGATTTCACCTAAATCCTTACCGCTGATCCTCACACCATGAACTGGAAGACAATATCCCTTTCAGGAAATGGCGTCACTTGCCAATTAAGAGCATGTGCTTTACAATTAGAGTATCCTAGCTCAACCACATACTAGCTGGATAACTTTAAACAAATCGCTAATCTCTCTCCCCCTCTGTTTCTTTGGCTGTAAAATGGGGCTGGTATCATCTTCCAATGCAAGATTTGGGGGAGGATTCAGTGAAGTGATGTCTGTAGAGTGTTTGGTGCATTCGTGGATGCTCAGTCACTGTTAGTATGCTTCTCCCATCTCTCTTGGTCTAGAGTGTGGAATTTGGTAAATAATGAGGTTGCTTAAAAGTGTTTTAGCAGTGGTGATAAAGCAGCATCACTGAGGCAGTGATTTTTGGAAAATGATTCCTAAGGCTGTGTGCTGATTTTTTAAAGTAGGGGGATGCCTGGCGACAGGGATATGACTAGAGCAAGTCTGGGGAGCTGCTTATAAAGAACTGAAGTGTAGCTGGAGGAAATGAGAAGAAAGAGCTGTGTCAAGTCAAGAGAGACAGAAGTGAATGAATAGGACTTGGCAGTACAGGGGTTTGAAGAAGGAAGGAATAGGAAATAACTTTAAGATTGTGCGCGTCATTAACCAGAGGATGTAAGAGTTACTTTCATATGGTAGGAAACTCTTTAAATTGTTACTGCCATGGAAACAACCTAACTAGCCATCAGTAGGGAACAGGTTAAATACGTTATGGTATATCCAATTAGTATAATTCTGCGCAGATATTTAAAAAAGCTTCTGATGGGAATAATCTATCTGATAAATTAATAGATAAAAAAGCACGGTGAGGGGCACCTGGGTGGCTCAGTTAGGCGTCCAACTCTTGGTTTCAGCTCAGGTCATGATCTCGGGGTCATGAGACCAAGCCCTGCATCAGGCTCTGCACTCAGAGGGGAGTCTGCTCGAGATTCTTTCCCTCCCTCTTCTTTTGCTCCCTCCTTCTCTCTCGAAAATAAATAAATCCTTAGGGAAAAAAAAAAGCATGGTGGAATATGGTGTAATAATATGCTGTTTACAGGAGGGAAAGGGGAGGCTTGTATATGAATATATTATCTCCGAATGGGTACTCAAAAAGAAAACCCAAAAAGCAGTGGTGGCCTCTGATGAAGGGACTGGGACTACAGGACTGTGGTCAGGGGTGGGAGGGAGACTGACATTTCACCGTATTCTGTTTTGAAGTGAATTTTGTAGCATATAAATGAAAGTTGTTAGGACCAGGCTGCCCACAAAAGCCCACAAGGTTTGAGAGTAGCCCCTTAAAAAAAGGAAAAGGGAGCAGTCACTGTAAAATACACTCACATGTAAGAGAAGTGGAGAGGCAGCTTGATGTGCTGGGTAAAGCATGTGGGCTTTGGAGTTAGACTTGGATCTCAATTCCAACACTTGCTAGGTTTGTGACCTTTGGCAAGTCACTTAAACTCTTTGAGCCTTAGTTTTCTCTTCTGAAAAATAACTTTATAAGGCTATTAAAAGAAGGCTAATATTTGCCTGGCATATGGTAGGTAATAAAAAATGGCAGCTGTATTATATTGTTACATATCTACCTTTATTTCATTTTAACCAGGCTTGAGACAGTCAACCAAAATACACACGACTTCTTATTCATGCTAGACAGTGGCGCATAGTGGGGAAAGTACGAACTTTGGAATAAAATTTCCTGGGTTCGAACGCGCTCCATCACTTACTGGTGTGCGGTCAGGTTAATCACTCTGTGCCTCATTTCCCTCATTTGTAAAATGGGGCTAATAATAGCTCCACCTTATAGGGTTGTTGCAAGGAATAAAGTAATGTGCATTTCAAATTAAGTTGTCACCTCCATGGAAACAACCTAGATGTCCATCAATAGCGAACAAATTAAATAAATTGTGGTGCATCCAATTAAGGTAATTCCATACAGCTATGAAAAGCCTCTGATGGGAATAATCAGTATGATAACTGGTAAATAAAAAAGCATAATGCAATATGGGTGTAAATGATATCTAGAAAAAAATGTGCCTGGCACATAATAAACACCAGATAATTATTTGCTATTGTTGTTATTTATGTACGATAACTATTTCTGCTTCTGTTTTTAAATTGCCAAACAGGTTAGCCCAGGTACCTTTTTTTTTTTTTAATTATTCTACAGTTCCCACACTTTGGGGAATGTGGTGAGAGGAGGTGGGGAGCTGGAACAGGATTTTACTGTTTGTGTCTATGTGCGTGTGTGCATGCTTGAGGTAAAGCCCACCTATATGGAGGGAAGTGCACAGTTTTTAAGTGTTCCATTTGATTGATTTTTTTTAATGATGCCTACTTTTTTTTTAAGATTTTATTTATTTATTTGACAGAGAGAGAGAGAGAAGGAGAGAGTGAAAGAGAGAGAGAGAGCGCACAAGCAGGGGGAGCGGCAGGCAGAGGGGGAGGGAGAAGCAGGCTCCCCACTGAGCAGGGAGCTCCATGCAGGACTCGATCCCAGGACTCTGGGATCACAACCTGAGCCAAAGGCAGACGCTTAATCAACTGAGCCACCCAGGTGCCCCCATTTGATTGATCTTGACAAATATAAATACCTGTGTCACCAAGACACATTTGGGATACAGAACACTTCCACTGCTCTTGAAACTTTCTTCATAGCCTATTTTAGTTACTCCCTGCGCCTCGAGGCAGCCACTACTTTGATTTCCATAACCATAGCTTAGTTTTGCCTGTTCTTGGACTCCATATAAATGGAAGTATCCAGTAGTACAACTTTAGTGTCTGAAAATTTTTTTTAGGTTCATCAAAGTTATAAGAATCTGTAGTTTACTGGTTTTTATTGTTGAATAGTATCCCGTTGTACGAGTGTACCACAATTTGTTTATCCTTTCCTTTGTTGATGGACATTTGAGTTGATTCCAGTTTGGAGCAAATGTGAATAAAGCTTCTGGGAACATTCATGTGCAAGTCATTGTGTAGACATATGTTTTCACTTATCTTGTGTAAACACCTAAGAGTGGAATTGCTGGATCATAGGATAAATGGATGTTTAACTTTATAAACAACTGTCAAAGCCGCAGCACCATTTTGAGGAAACATTGGTTACAGGGTCAAAGAAAAGAGTCCACATGTGGGAAGAGTGTAAGTCAGAAATCATAACAATGTCTCCTCCATCTTCCATTTCTTCAGAGACAGAAAGCAGGGAGGAAGGGAGTCCCAGGGAGGTAGGAGAATATGATAGAGTCACCCATTTAGTAGAGGTAGAGCTCTTCAAAAAAGTTTAACCCTCCTGGCACATAAATTGATATTCTTATAACAATGTAGAAAGTACTTTTACTTCTGCAATCTCTTTAGATCTTCACAACCATGCCACGGTGGGGGCAGAGCTGTGTTACAGTACTGCCTGTTACAAATGAGAAAACTAAAGCTCAGAGATGTCAGAATGACTTGCCCGAGATCCCATCACTAGTTACATCTGAGCTGGGGTCCAAACCTCAGTCTACGGATGAGAAGTTTCTTGCCCTAAGTTCTAGTTCAAACACTGATTAGCTATAGAACCTTGACAAAATTATTTAACTTCTCTGGACCAACTATACAGCGAGGATAATAATAGTACCCACTTCAGATATTGGGAGGTGGAATTGAGGTAACAATTGCATCCTGTGCTTGGCACATAGTAGGAGTACAATAAATGTTCGTTGAGTTTGAATCTAAGGTAGGTAGGTGGGTCTGGGCCGAAGAAAGCATTAGTGTAAGATTTCAGTATCACAGTCATGCCCCCTCTCTTTGTTTGGTCTAGATTCTTACCTGGAAGGGAACTTAGCCAGAGACTCTTCTTCCTAATTCTCTTCTGCTCCTCCTCTCTCCCACCCTCTATATCTCAACGTTTTGCCTCAGTGAAATGTGCTTCTGCTCAGAAAAATGTTGGAGGCCTCTGCTTATAATACAGATTATAAAGAGGGCAGGAAAAGATAGTAATGTAACACTTTTTTTTTTACTGCGGGGTTCTTTTTGAAAAGAATTGCAATCCTCTAAATTTTTTCTGAGCCTGTGTGCAATCCCGGAACCAACCGGTCATTATTTTCTGGACAGCGTGTTGGCTCTGGGCAGCCTGCATCCTCCTAGTCTCCTCCGTTTCCCTCCCAGTCACAGGACTGTCGGCAGCTCTGAGTCCTGCTACCAGCCCAGTGGCTACTGATAACCATCTCTCTTCCTTTTTGCTAGTGTCCTTTCTCAGCCTGATCATAATACATTTGTTTTGGTCATAATATGGTGAGCTCTAGAGAAACAAGAAGTCGCCCCAGCCCTGTTCTCTGTATAGATTAGTTGCATAGCCCAGCATTCTAAATACTTTTAAACCCTCCCTAATCAGGATGGTCCATTTCAGTAATAGTTTCGTTGTCAGAAATGTCATTGAGGTATCATGTAGGTTTCCTCCCATGGTGTTGTCTTAAAGGGACATTTCTTGCCTCCTTGGTTCCAGGCTCCCATCTCAGTCTTCAAAGAAGATAGCCTGAGATTCCCTGGCCCCTTGAGCCCTGGCAAGCACCTTTCCCGGTCCTTTCTGGAAAGTTCTGCCCTATGATTCAGAACCTACCCACGTCTTAGCACACAAGAGCTTATACTTTTCCTGCCTTGGGTGATATGTAAAGAGCTTCCAGTTTGTGGAGAGGACAACTTCCACTTACAAGTTTTGAGTCCTTGAGCAAATCATCCGCCTTCTCTGGGCCTGAGTTTTCTTACCTGGGAGTGCTAATCAGTCTCTGCCTTTACTGTTTATTTCACAGGGCTTGTGTGGGCATCAAAAGACAATGTTTTGAAAGCCCTTTGTGAACTCTGAAATGTTGTACACACGTGTGCAGTCATTGCCGTTCCTTTTGGAACTGTGGCTGTAATCCTGCCTCCTCTTCCTGACCTGCTCCTGTCACTGACCCCCGTGCTAGGGAAACTGACCCATCCAGTGTTCTTAGAGGGAGCCTTGCTGCCGGGGGATTGTTTTCTTTATGAAGCGATCACTGTAAGGGAAGCGGGTTTTTGCTTTTGAATGTACAGCTGAAGAGCAAAGCTGCCTCCTGCCACATTTGCCCACAGGGCTTCCTGAGAGGCATGATGATGAGTTGCATTTTTTTCTGCAGACCGACGACAGCAATGGGGACTTGGACCCAGGAGTCTTGCTGACAGCTCAGACCATCACATCTGAGACCACAAGCAGCACAACCACAACTCAGATTACCAAGGTAACAAACCAGTTAGAACTTCCTTCTGGAATTCAGTGGCATGCCAAGCTTGCTGCCTCTCTCTGCAAGAAGGACCCTGGTCTAGAAGCAAGGGTTTTCAGCTCCATCCCTACCGAGCCAAATGAATCCAAGTGTCACAGGGGGAAAGGCTCTGCTGCTTCCCCAGCAGTAAAGCTAGGGGGACCCTGAGGGCACCCTTGCCTAGTTAGTAGTCTCATAAAGTCACCTGTGGCTGTTCTCTTTACACATCCACCTGTCTCTCTGGTCATTCCCCTATCTGGCTGTGGAGGTAAGTTTAAAAAGTCAGTTTAAGGACAGGTGTCATTGGTATTATTGTGCAACCATATTTTCCAAGTAAAAAATTAGAACTCAGGGCCCAACAAAAGTTTTTATATCACGTCCAGCATCAAGGCCATGGGAACTATAGTTTGCATGGTGAAATATTGGAATTATTAGAATATTGTTTATGGGGGCAAGCAGGAAAAATTATCTAAAATTGGAACTACTCCCTGAAAATCAGAGACAGTCCATGTTTGCTGCAGCACTAGAGGAAAATATATTTGCTTGTAAGTAAGAAATCTAGATTTCGGACCAAGCTCTGTTATCAAAACAGAAGACTGGAAGCTAGTTACTTAATGTGTCTAGACCTTGGTTATCCTCATCTGTCAATTAGGGAAACCTACCCACCCTGAGGGGATTACTTGAGGATCTTTTGATATCAATGATATGAAAGTGCTTGAAAATAAAGAGCCCAGTTTCAAGCTGCATCATAGTCTTCTGAGTTTCCTCTTGAAAATAATCAAAATGTACAGGAAAAGAGCAGAAAGAAACACCTGTCTGTTTTGTTTACTCACTGAATTTCTGTGATGTTTGGGAGGAAGAAAAAGGGAAAAATAGAGATTTGTGACTTTCCATTTTGCTTATTAAAGATTTTAGCAATCTACGGAAATAGAGGTGTGCTCATTTTAGCAGGTGCAGCCAAGAGTTTGGACAAGTGGGTAAGAAAGCTATTCTAGACAGCACCCAGCAGCAGGTGAAATTTTGGAGTAGAGCTTTCAGAATAATCTTTTATTGTTCCCCGCCCCCCTTCCTTCTTTCCTTTCTTTCTCATGTGACCACCTCTCTTTGGTTTCAGACTGTAAAAGGTGGGATTTCAGAGACCCGGATTGAGAAGAGAATTGTGATCACAGGAGATGCCGATATTGACCATGATCAGGTGGGACTGCCGAGGGGATTCTGGGCATGGAAGAGGTCCCTGGGAAGGAAGATGGATGGATATAGGAGTTGGCTTTCAGAAGACACCTCTGCCAGCTTCATCCCCAGGGACCCCCTGGGCTACTCTAGCGCCTAAATGAGAGGGATGAAGGGAATCAGACCACGGAGGCCTGTGGGATGGGGGCTGCAGGTGGGGGGAGCGTGAAGTGTAATAGAAAGAACATGGGCCTTAGACTCAAAAGGCTTGGGTTCAAATCCTAGGTCTCCCCATATTCTAGCTCTTAACTTCCTAGGCCTCTGTTTCCCCATCTTTAAGATGGGCGTTATGTCAACTTCCCCTCGAGGTGGTTGTGAGAGTCGTGGGATATGGGATGTATGGTGTGAGGGACATGGTAGGCTCTGGGTGGGTGGAGCCGTTGCTGTTCAGGGGATAGTGTGTACCTCAACCTGTGCTGGAGACAGAAGAAGATAGCAAGACAGAAGGAAGGGGTGATCCTTGTCCGCAGAGGGCTGTAGTGGCAGAGGGGGTGAGGGAAGCAGAGTGAGGTGGACTGCCTGCGAACAGGAGCCTTGACTTCAAGTCTGTTCTACATCTGTCACTAGCTTACTGTGTGACCTTGGGCAAACCACGCTACCTCTGATTCTTTATTGTCTCCTAAAAGAGAGTAGGTTGATCTAGATAATTTCTGGGCCCTTCTGAGCACTCAAATTCTCTGTTTCTATATTAATTAGGTGCTAATTGTGTGCTGCAAGCAATTAGCAAATAATAAGGTCAGGATTAATGCTCCCAGTTCTCTGCTGGATGAGGTTGGAACAGTAAAGCTGCAGAGAAGAGGGGGTGGAGGGACTGCATGCAAATGCTTCTGGAATCATTGACAGCAGTGCTGGAGCAATAATTCCGTGGCCTTTATGCTGATACGTTGAGTGCCTAAAAAAAAAAAAAAAAAAAAGGAAGCCTGAGCCGCACTGCTGGCGGTTCCCTTGGTAGCAGGGTTGAGACTCCCAGCTGAGAACTCAGGCTCAGGGTCCCGGCAACAAGGCTGAAAAGCCCAAGTGCAGCCTGTTAGCCCCCAGCTAAGTAGATCCTGCTGTGCTACCAGCCTGCACCCACCTACTTGGTCTGGTTGATTTGAGCCCCAACTGTGTGCTCAGTCGGTGCTGGACAGCAAGAGCTGTGGGACCGGAAGGTGTTTGGGTTTAGAGTGAGACAGCCTTGGGTTGACTCTTGATGCCGCAACTTACTGGTTGTGTGCCCTTGAGCAAGTTATTTTACTTCTCTGAGCTGTAGTTTTGCCACCTGTAAAATTAAGATAATCATAGGTTTCTTTCAGGGTGGTTGTGACAAACACACTTGATAGCTCAGAGATGCTGCTATGTCCCTCAGTTCTCCTGGGTATGAGGGCTACATGGAAGGGCTAAGAGGTGGCATACTGTGGATGGGTGGAGAGGCACTTAGTCAAGAAGTTGTGTGGTGCAGGCTTTCATTGAGAGATCGGTGTAGGCCAGAGTAATCAAAGAGAGGGCTTGGGCTGGGCCTTGACCCACGATTGGTGGGGTGGGCAAAAAGGATCAGGGACAATGACTAGGGGCCTATAGAGGTGGCACTTCTAAGAATGGCTTTCATGGAGTCAAGAGACCGAAAGAGGAATTTCCCTACTAGAAGTAGTTCTTTAGAGCCAGGGTCAACAGTCAGGTGGTCAGACCTAGCTAGAATCCCCATGTCACCATTCCCAAAGGCTCTTCCACCTTGGTGCTGTGAGCTTGAGGCTCAGAGACTTGCTGCACAATGAGAGAAGTGGTGTCACTGCTCTCACTTTCCCTCGGCATCATTTAGCTTTTCTGAAATGATCGAAACTCCTCCAGGTGTTAATACAGGGGCTCCCCGAAACTAAAGGACAGTGTAGTGAAGAAGAAAGCCTTATAGATTTAAGTTAAAATCCCTGCTGCATTACTTACTAGCTGTGAAACATTAACCACTTTATTTACCCACTGAACCTCAGTTTCCTTGTCTATAAAATGGAAACAATGAGGGGCGCCTGGCTGGCTCAGTCGGTGGAGCCCCTGATTCTTCATCTCGGGGTCATGAGTTTGAGCCCCACATTGGGCACAGAGCTTACTTTAAAAAAAAAAAAATGGTAACAGTGCTACTACCCTAATTCATTTAGTTGTTCTGAAGAGGTGGCTCAGTTGGTTAGGCGTCTGCCTTCGGCTCAGGTCATGATCCCTGGGTCTTGGGATGGAGTCCCGCATCGGGCTCCCTGCTCAGTGAGGAGCCTGCTTCTCCCTCTCCCTTGGCTGCTCCCCCTGCTTGTGCTCTCTCTCTGTCAAATAAGTAAGTAAAATCTTTAAAAATAAAATAAAGTGAAAAGATGAAGATCAAGTATATAGTAATAATAATGTGCCTAGGCCAGTGCATGGCATGTAATAGGCCGTCCCCCACTTCCTCACTTACTTCCCTCCCTCTTAGCCAAAGAGATCTCTTCCTTTTTGTAGCATGCTTCTTTAGTTCCCTCTTCTGTTCTGAACTTCCCGGTGACCCTACGTTGAACACAGATTTTGCTTTGTCCTTCAGGCTCACTTCTTGAGTGAATCCTCTCAAACCCACCCAGCAGGTACAGCTATCACTCCTGAAGTCCCTTTATGATTGCTGGGCTAACCTGTTTGGCAAGATAAAATATGTCTGCTTAAAGACAACTCTAGGGCGCCTGGGTGGCTCAGTTGGTTAAGCGACTGCCTTCAGCTCAGGTCATGATCCTGGAGTCCCGGGATCGAGTCCCACGTCGGGCTCCCTGCTCTGCGGGGAGTCTGCTTCTCCCTCTGGCCCTCCCCCCTCTCATGTGCTCTCTCTCTCAAATAAATAAATAAAATCTTTAAAAAAAAAAATAAAGACAACTCTAGCCTTCCTTGTCTCTGTGTTTTCAGTCCAAGAGCCTCCCTCTTCAGGATAGGGGAAGGAAGGCTGTTATCAACTCGCTTAGCCTAAATGCTGCCTTGGTAGCGCAGACAGAAAGATTGAATTTGCCAGAGAAATGATAACCTGAGACCCCTGCCTTCCTTCACCAGTCAGGCTGCTCTCTGCTTCACGGGCATGGTTTCTGTCTTTCTCAGGTCCTTGTACAGGCCATCAAGGAGGCAAAGGAGCAGCACCCAGACATGTCAGTGACCAAGGTGGTCGTCCATCAGGAGACTGAAATCTCTGAGGAATGACCTCAGGTAAGGGCTATTCTTGGTGGGGGGAGGGCGTTCACTGTCCCAGCCTCAGAGAGCCCTGAATAGGAACAGCGCCCAGAGGTGTCCACGCTGGGACTTAACCTAAGTGAAGGCTCTCTGCTGTCACAGGTATCTCTTGAGTCCAAACCTGAGAGGGCCAGAGGAGAACAAAACCAAGAAAAGCAGAACCTAGTGGTCTAGAAATGGGGGCTTGGGGCATAGAGGAGAGAGGGCTGAAGCTCGGAGGCCAGACTCGAAAATTGGAAGCAGGTAGCTGCTTTTGGGGAGCCAGGAATCCAGATAAATTTACGCCTAGAAGTAGTTTACAAGTGACTCAAGCCATCAATCACCAGGGGGCCTGGGCTCCTCAGTACAACTGCTCAGGGCCTGCTTGGCACCTGGGACTGGGTGGCTGTCTCCCTTTACAGGATTTAAAAAGTTTGCCTTCTTTCCTCTTAGGAACTATCCTACCCCAACTCCCTGCCTGTCTCCCACCCAAGAGAAAACCAGCAAAATGATAAAGAAGCTTACCTGCAATAGTCAAGACATCAGGCTTTCACAATTACTCTAAACCACCAGAAAATTAATTTCGTTTTCTATTTGGAGTTTATACTGAGAGAGTCTTCTAGACATTGCTGATTCTTTTAATACCTTTTTCTATATTGTGATACCAGAAATTGTTCAACTTTTCACTCTATGGACTGTTTTTAAAGAGCTTTTTGTTTTTTTATGCGGTGGTTTGTAACCCCTTCAACCTAGCCTCTCCCCATTTATTTCCAACCCAGATACTGACAGGTCTACAGAATTCTTGAGGAAATCCTCCAGAGACTCTGTCAGCTGTGTTGGGGGCCAAAGCCAGCTTAATGGGGCGTCCCTGCTCCTCCCCTAGTTTTATACCCTTTCGACGTCAGCAGAAACTTCATGAACCAGCCCTTTCTCAGAGCCAACGATGTGACTTTACCATGTGAGGCAGGGCACCTGTCCTGATCCGCAGACCCCAGGGAGACATCCCTGCCCTTCTGTTGAGGGTGGTTTTGGTGAGGCAGAGATCTCTGCTAAGAATGTAGTATTGTTTTTCCTTCTTTCCTCCTGTTCGTTCTTTTTGGAGCTTCTTTAGATCAAAGACGTGAGAAGTTGTTTCAGATATATCTGATACTGTGAATGTTTGAACTGAACAAATCTGTGGCCTTCACCTTTCTGCCCTCCTTCCCCTTTTACCTCATCAGAAGCAGTGGCTCTGCTAAGTTCTCCCCCCACTTCCCATCTCAGGAGACCAAAACTCACACAAAAATAGGCACTTTTGGCCAAAAGCTCTAATGGCACATTTTTTGTAGTGATTTGGGCAAGGAAAGTTGATGAAGTTAAAAAAAAAAAAAAAAAGAGGTTTTCTAGTTCTGGGAATGTGCACTTCACACAGGGGAATGGCTGAGTTTACCTCAGTCAGATCCCGCTAAAAAGTATTTCCAGGTGACCGACCCTGGGCCTTTTTCTTTAATCGTGGGATGACCAGAAATGTGACTCGGAGAGGAGGCTGTGTTCCTTGACCTTTCTTCTCCTGACCAGTACCTGCCTGCAGACACCCTTCTGGAGCAAGAGAATTGACTTTTAGGGGCCATCCTTCCCACAAAACCCCACGTGACAGGGAGCACAAACACCAGCTCTGCTCATTCCCACTCACCATCTGAGGTCTGTCGGGTGTTGTAGGCTTGATTTTTGTGGTGGTTGTGGGTTTATTTTACTTCTAATTTTTTTTTTTTTTTTTTTTTTTTTTTTTTCTTTTTAAACAGGTTTGGTTTTTTGGCCGGTGTTGTCTTTTTTTTTTTGGTGGTGGTGGGTTTTTTTTTCTTCTTTTTTTTTTTTTTTTTTTTTTTTTTTGCTTGGTTTTGAAAATGGGACTGACTGATGAGCCCAATTCCACCATTCTTGGTAGATCTGGGGGCATTTTTATTCAGTAGTGCTTCTCTAATCTTCCAGCTGGCTTCCCACAAACACATCTGCCTGGAAGTTCTTAGAATCGTATGGTGGGACAGAGGTGGACTTCATGAGAATAGACGGCAGGTCACATTCAGCAGTCTCTGGGGGCTCAAGAGCCGTGAGCGAGAGAGAAAAGTCTAAAACCTCTGCTCCCCACAGTGGGAGCCAGCCACATGTGTCCAAAGACTGGCTGAGTCTTGTTTTAGACAGACTCAGTTGGTTTGAACTGATTTCAGATGTGTGCATTTTGTGCATTTTTCGTTTAGTACTTCTGTGAGCCTGCTACTAACCACGAGGCAGCTCTCTCTGGAGAGGGACAGGAAGAGCTCAGGTGGGGCGCGAGACTGGCCTGGGGGAAAGGATCATCCTGTCTCAGGAGCAGACTTCTGGCCTGTGGGCATAGGGTCGGAAATGGTGGGGCTTGCTTGTTGGTGCCTAAGCCTGGGCCGTGCTGCCAGGAGTGGTAATGAGGTTGGGAGTCCAGCTCACATCAAACAGCGTGTGACAGGAGCTTGCTTTCCAGTGGTTGTCCTGCTCAAAGAGCTACCAGCTCCCAAAGCGGACAGCTGTGGAATGAAGAGGGTGGGGGTGAGGAAGCGGGCCCAGCGTGAGCGTCACAAACCGGGCCCACTGAGTTCTTGCTGTCCACACCGCTGACGGGGGCCTGCACGCCCCCTCGACTCTGTCACCAGCTCACCGTGCTTGTCTCTGCTTCCTTCACTCTAAGTTGGGCCAGAAGATCTCAAATGCCCTTCCAGCGCTGAGAAGCCACAGATTTGGACAAGCTAGGAAGAGGGTGTCCTTCCAAGACTCTTCCCCTGTCCTCCCGCTCTGGGAACAGATGTGGGGGTTTGACAACTGTTTGGATTTTTTTTTCTTCCTGCAGTTGTGTGTGCATTTGTGTGTGTGTGTGTGTGTGTGTGTGTGTGTGTGTGTGTGTGTGTGAAGAAAAACAGATTCTGTCCAGGTGGAAATGGTGAAGAGGGGAGGAGAGAGCTTCATTTCCAGGGTCAGAGACTTGGCAGCCGTTTTCCTGAAGTGACTCAGACACACCACAGTGACAACTCTCACTGCAATTTTATTTTTATTTCACTTGAGAAGACTTCCTCCAAGCCACACGAGGTCTCTGCCACCCACCCACCCGCCCGCCCACCCGCCAAGCAGGACCTAAAAAGCCAAGGGCCCACAGAACCTGGGTGCAGGGACCTCTCGGAGCCTCCACGCCCGCCTGCCCAGGCCCACCCATCGCATGTTCTGCAGGCAGCTGAGGGGGAGGGGCCCCAGCCGCCCTGGGAAGTAGAACCAGAGCTAAGGCCTGACTGACACCAAGGAATGCTCCTGGGAAAGATCTGCCCAGGATCTCAGCCCCAGGCTGGTGGTTTTTACAAATCTTTCTGAAATGTATTATTTTGGTGACAAAAATGAAGGAGCTTTGTAAATTTTTTTAAAATTATGAATCATGTCAAGTAGTTGTTTACATTTCTTGACAAAATAGGAACTATGGCAGCAGAATCAAATTGGCAAGATCCTTAGATTAAAAAGGCAATAATTAGGTCTGCTGTTTTGGCCTTTTGTAGTAAGAGAAGTGGTGTAGTGTTTAGATACGTGTTTGGTCTTGCTTCTTGTATTGCATTTTTCAATAAACTAAAAAAACAAAAACAAAAATAGAACTGAATGTGTGACAATTGATCAACTTTTAAAGTTCTCTTCTCCTACCAGCAGTCTGGGAAAAGTTCCACATGGGTAAGGGAGACTCAAATTTTTGACCCTAGAAAAGACCCTTTTCTAAATTAAGCTACCCACATTGGCCGAAGTGCAGCTTCAACGCTGTATAAAAGGAGAACTGGCAGATGCTTTTTGCCAGTTGGGGGAGATTTTGCAGCACAGGCCATGACGAAGGAGAGAAGGGGGCTTCTCAGACCTGTTCAGGGAGGGGCCGGACCCTCCGGAGGAAGGCTTTGGCAGTAGTGTAGCCCTAGGGGGTGTACCCTGCATGGCTGAGGGGAGAGAGGGGCTGAGGTGGTGGGAGTTAATGCCTCAGCCCCCATCCCAGATGGCAGTGGAGGGTCTCAACTCTACCCCATTGCCCATCTCCCCTAACCCCACAACCGGTACTACCGTGGAGGGAGCCTGGCCCAGCCTGTAACATACCAGCCAACCTACCTTACAAGTCTTAGGGGTCCTTGCCCACCACTTTGGATCTGCCGAGACACCTGCTGTATCTCCCAATCACCCTGACCTGGACCTCCAGCTGCCTCAGGTACCTGTCCAAGGCTAAGGCCACTTTTGGAGGGTTAAAGAGTTCCCGAGGCCGAGTCATGCTGGTCTCCAGACTCCACATGAAAACATTCACTCCAGCTGATTGAACCCTTGTGCAGTTGGCATTTCTCTGCCGACATGCAAGTCAGGATGCCTTAGCAGCTGCTGGGGCCAGAGCATCCGTCTCCGGTCTGGGAAGTGACTGATGCATCTACTAGACTTTGGGACTTCTGGTCCTGTTACCACGGTCCATGCTGCAGCCCTCTTAGCAGGCTGTCTCCTGCTCTTCAAACCCGCGCTCCCAAGTTCCCTCCTCCTTCCAACTTGGCATAACCCCCCAGACTGATGCGGTCCAGCCGTGGCCAGCTCCGGTGAGCACAGTCTCGAGCCGCTGGGGCCCCAAGCAGGAGCTCCCCGAGGCCCAGATCCAGAGACTTGGAATGTTCAATGCAGGAACCAGAGGGCTGCACGGTGATAATCACATGGCCAGTCTGGGTCCGTGGACCCCAGGGTGGGGGCAGCCCCGGGCCCTTCAGCGGGTAACTGTTGAGCAGGGCAGGTAACCCCAAGCGAGGATTAGCAGGCTCTGAACGCAGACTCCGCACTGATGGGACGGGTGAGGTACCCCGACGCGGGGACAGGTCCCAACTTTCTGGCTCTGTGCAGCCCATGGCTCCGGGAGTCCTGGGTCCGGGGCTGGGGAGGAGGGCGCAGTCCCAGCCGGGGCCGTCAGGGGGCCGGAGCGCCTGAGCCCGCAGCACCCCCTGGCGAAGCCGTCGCGTCTCCAGGTCGCGGTTCTCGTAGAGCAGCGTGTTGGCGCAGATGAACACAAACAGGCCGACGCCCATGACCACGGGCCCAAGGAGCCGCAGCCGCTCGTGCGGGCCGTGGCCCCGGCCGGCGCCGCGACCCTCGCGTCGCAGCTCGCTCAGGGGGGGCGCGCTGGCATTGGCAGCGCGCGGCCCTGGGACCCCGGCGCGGTGCGGCCAGTAGCCGGCCACAGCGATGCCCATGCCCACCAGGACCACGAGCGCCCCCAGCGCCGCGAACGCCCCCGACGGCGAGCGCAGCCGCAGCCGTGCCCGCACCCGCAGAGGCTCGGGCGGGGAGCGCGGGCGCCGGCGGCGGCCCAGGCGGCGGCCCAGGCGAGAGACGCGGCCCTCCGGGCTCCTCCGCACCTCCCCGCAGTCTCCAGGGCTCCCGGATGTCATCTCGCCGTCGTCTGGGCGCTCTGCGGAGAGATGGGAGGCAAGGACTGAACCGACGGGCCTTGGGTCAGAGCGCCAGATTGGGAGGCAAGATCCGGCTGCCTCGCCCAGGCCGCTTGGAGATCCCTGGCGGCCACCCCCGGATTTTCCCCGGCCTCGAGGCGGGGAGCCGCCCCCGCTCGGGTTTTCCGCAGCGGAGCTCCGAGCCAGGGACGCGCGGCAGAAGCCGGACTTGGCCAGACCCGCGGGCGGAGAGGAGGGAGGGGGGCGCGGACCGCTACCTGGCGCATCCGCAGCTGCGGGGCTCCGGCCGCCTGCACCCTTTTCGCCAGCCCGCCGACCCCGGGTCTCGGGAGGTGTGCGGGCCCCCGGCAGTGGCGTCTCCAGGGTAAGTCCCGCCCGGGATCGACCTCACCCCCGCACGCGGGTGCACCGTAGTAAAGGAGGGAGGGGGCACTCAGACCGCCCGGGTCAGCTGGGGTCGCTCGCGGGCCCCACCTCCCCCCTACTGCGCTTTACATACCGCACCGGAGGAAGGAAAGGGTGTCACTGACTCCAGCCTTTTCCTGCCCGCCCCCTCCTTCAGACCTCCTCAGCCTGCACTGAAGCTGCAGCAGGAGAGACTTGAGCTAGACTCCGGGAAGACCGTTCTGACCAAGACCAGCGGCAGACTTTGCCCAGGATGGCTTTCAACTCCGCGTAGAAGAGGTCTCCCCTCCCCCAGCGGCCGGGCAGTGGCCAGGGCAGGAGGCAGGGGGCTGCAGGTGCTGGGCTGGGGGCCCTGTGGGGAGAACTCCCCCCAGCTCTCCCGTCGGCCCGGGCAAGGCTGTTCCCAGGTTGCAGCGTTTCCAATTCGAGCTCCTCGGGATGAATCATCCCCCTTTCCCGCCGCCTGTCCTCCTTTCCGGCCTCCTCCACCCGAGGCCTCAGTGGCCCGCGTCCCGGACGGAGCAGCACCGCCCCAGCACCTCAGGCCGCCCCAGTTTGGGCCGCCTGGCTTCAGCCCTTCCTGTTCTGGGGCCTAAGAACTGAAGCCGGGCCGGGTGAGGAGTAGCTGGGCTGTGTGTGGTGTGGCCCCCACGGAAGGGAGGTGTACAGTGTAGGAGGAAACGGGGGCCCCAGTCCAGACGCCCTGGACCGCAGGGGAGGAGGGCTAGGACCTCGCTGTCCAGTGGTGCGTCTTCACTCCCCCAGTCTGGTTTCTAAACAGCTTCAGCGCTGGAATCCGTGCCGAGGCCCCAGGAAGAAGGTCTTGCTACCCGACTCACTCCCCATCCGCACCCCGAAGCTCAAGGCACGACACCCCATCCCTGCCTCCGACAGAAGTGCCAAAGGCCCAGGGCCTAGCACGGAGCCGCAAAGTCTACGGCGTCCAAAGCCTGATTGTCACAGATGGAAACTGCGGCCCAGAGAAGGCAGAGCCCCCTGCCGGGGTCACACGAGGAAGGGGCTCCCCGGGACCCGACGCCGGGCCTCCGGACCCTAGCTAACGCTGTGCTCTTCCCGGCACAGCTACGGGAGCGTCCTGGGAGGAGGCAAGGGCCGTTCCCCGGTCGTCTCTGAATGTGGAGCCTTTTCCCCAGCCCGAAACCGCAGAAGTGACCACCGCGCCCCAGGCCAGAACTGGTGCCCCAGCCCCAACTCCGGAAAAGTCGCCCGGAGCCCCCGCGCGTCCCTGCGGGGAGGGAGGCGGAGGCGTGCGGAGAGACGGGCACACACGTAGAGACCCCGACTCTGGAGGGCGTGAGTCCACGCTGGGACCGCAGGGGGGCAGAAACTTGGAGCCACAGTCGGAAGGTCTCAGGCCGCGGGAAGTTGCTCTGGGCCGGGTCCCTGGCGCTCTGGGGTCCCGCCTCCGCCCGCGCCCACACGCCGCCCCGGGGGAAAGGGCGGACCGGGCTCCCGCCCCCCAGGGCCTTTCCGGAGGGAGGGGCCAAACAAAAAGTTGAGGAAAGTGGAGGGCGAACCCGGGGCCCTAGTTTTGCTCACCTGGCGCCGCCGCGCCGGGACGGGTCCTGATCCGAGTCCGCCCGCCGCGGCTCGGGGAACTGCCGCGGTCTCCTCGGAGTCCTGGCCCCCTGGCCCCGCCCCCTTCCCAGGCCCCGCCCGGCACCGCCCAAGCCCCGCCCCCCGGGAGCCCAGGGGACTGACTGGCTAGCACCCCGCCAGGCCCCACCGCTGGAAGCAGGCAGCAGCTCGGGTCTGAGGGTCGCAGGTAAGCGCTGTGTGCTCGCCTGGTGACTCGGAGGATCCGGGGGCCCGAGTCCCCAGTTTGTGTCGTTCGCAGAGGCCTGGGAGGACCACCTCTTCCCACGTGGGTAAACTGAGACCTGGAGCTGGAGAGCCCTGACCGGCTCCGCAGCGAGCGCGCAGACAGGATTTTCGAAGCCCGCACGCCCTCCCGCGCCTGTCTGAGCCCCTCATTCCAGGCGCCCGGGAGAGGACTCGCGGGGGCGTCTGTGAGAGCCCACTGCTGCCCCGCGCCGTCCGGGTTGCTCCCCGGAGGAGGCGGCCGGGTCCCTGCTCCGCCCGCCCCCCAGCCTTTCCCCTCCATGATCCTCACTGCCTTCACCTGGAAAATGGGCTTAATGGTGTCCGCCTCACAAGAGGCGAAAATCCAGCGTTGGGGGCGGGTACCCGACACGGGGCGCAGCCCCGGTAACCCCGCGAGCGCTCAGTGAATAGGAGCCCGCGGCAGGGGTGGAGGCGGCGGGGCTGAGCCGCCTCTCAGAGCTGAGTGAGTCTAACGGAGGGTCACGGGTCCCGCCGGCCTTCCCTCAGAAGATGCGCCCCATCTGGAGTGGGGAGGCGGCGTCGGCCTCCAACGCCGAGGCCCTGGGGGCGCCCCCCGCCGCGGGCCTGACCGGGCCGCCCAGCTCTCGAGCCCCGCCCGCCCCCCGAGGCAGGAATGCGGAGAGGAGCGAGGGGGTCGGCTGGCGGCCCAGTTTCCATGATGCGGGGGGCGGGCTCGGAGGAGGAGGAGGGGTGGCGCGGGCGGCCGGCCAGGCTCCGAGCCGGCCCCCCCCCCTCCCCGGGCCCTCGCAGCGCGGGCCCCTCGGGAGGAATTTCCGGCCTGGGATTGATTATAACCCGTCCCTCCCCCGGCCGTCAAGACCCCCCGGCCCGCGGGGGAGGGGGAGGGGCGGTAATGAGACCCGGCTGTGCGCCCGGGGCGGGGAGAGGGGAGCTCGAGGAAGTCGCCGGCCTGGGCCACCCCACCTCGCAGGGGTCACACGGCGCGGCTAGGCCTCGAACCCAGCTCGGCCGAGGAGACCGGGGGTGGCCTCAGCGCCCCGGGAGCTCCTTGCCCAGCCCTCGGGGACAGGCATCCCTGGGAGCGACCGAGGCCACCCCTGGTGGCGGAGCCTCCTGAGGGACCGACCGTGAGGCTACCGGCCTCCCGCGGAGCGGATGGGGCCGAGCCAGGGGGTCGTGTAGGGTCGGAGAGCCAGGCCGGGGTTGCCTTCCTGCCCCCGCGTGGGGCTGAAAGCTCCTGCGGCCTGAACTCGAGAGAGAAGTCCCTCCGCTCTGCGCCTGGGCTGTGGTTCAGGCTCCACTGAGGCGGTGGCCTCCTTCCTGTCCCCTCCTGCCACCTCCTTTGCTCGAGACCCCCAGTCGACTTCCATTCCCGCACATCGACCCCTCTACGCCCCCCACCCGGCCCTCGGGCACGCCCACCTACCGCTCGCTCGACGCCCCACCCGACGTCGTCTGCGGCCCTGTCCCCCGTGGCTGCTTTTCCTGGGGACACCACCTCGAGGCCAAAGCGCGGACAGTCTCCCGTCTTTGTCCTTGCGACGCCACCGGCCCTGGCCTTTACCGCTTGCTCTGCCTGCCCCTCCCGACTTTTCTTCCTCTGGGCCGCCTCTGCCCTCCCCTGACGTTGGGGCTCCGCGGGGCTGGGCCCACAAGCCCAGCCTCACTTTCAGCAACCAGACACCTCCCCAGAAGGGTCCCTGCTCCGAGCGATCATGGCCCATTCCTACTCCTCCTGTTCCCCGCCCTGTGAAAGACCCCACTGCCCACCAGAGGGCCACGAACACGGCGGGGGGAGGGGGTGTCACCTAGGCTCCTTCCTCTCCCCCATACCCGCCAATCTCCCAAGCCCTGTGCATCCTCTTTGGATCCCCAATTAGCTGCCTTCTCCCCTGGACCTAAACCACCCACTCACTCTGCTTAAAACCCTCAGTGGCTCCCGAGCGCTGTCCGAATGGAGCTTAAAATCCCTTCCCGTCCGCACACACTGGCTCCTGCCCCCCCCCCTCCCTCCCCTGGTAGCTGAACTTGTTCTCATCCCCATATTTGTGCTCTGGCCTTGGGGCTTGGCAGGAACTCCCACTCCCCATCATCCCCTTGGTTCTTTCCGGTCCTTCAGACCTTATCTGCACCTCCCCTGGGCCCCCAGGGCTCTTCAGCCTCGCCCCTCCCCACCCGGCCATTATACACCCTGCCCCGAGCTCTCCTTTGCTCTGCTCACAGAACTGAAATCCGTGTTTGGGATTTGCGCCTAGATCCTGTGTCCCCTCTGAGGGGAGGACTGGGTCTGTCCTGCCCCTCCCTGAGCCCTGGCCCTCCACTGACCTGTGTCTCCCCCACCCTGGGGGTCCAGCCCAGACAGCAGGAAAGGACTCAGCTCCGAGTCTGTTTCCCCATCTGCACAAAAAGCGGGGACTGATACTTAACCTCCCGGTGCCTTTGAAGCTTAGGTGAGAGCACAGATGTTCTGATCTGGCACGAAGTGGCTGCCCACCGAACAGCTGGTCCCTCCTCTGACCCCGGGGTTTGGGGCACAGAAGCCGGTATTTGGGAGTTGGAGAAACCTTCCCTGGGGTCATCTGGAGTGGTAGTGAGAAAAGGGCCCTCTTTCCCTCAACATAAGCCCACTTGATTCTCTCGAGAACTCTGGGAGGCCTGTGATAGGCCTAGTTTACAGAAGCGGAAAGCGCCTCAGAGAGGCCGCGCAGACACACAGCCAGGCTGCTAAGTGCTCTCCCCCTCCACAG